GTTAATCTAAAAGATGCTCGCGGATTTCCAGACTTCTGAGGGGCGGTCCGTGTTGCGGCTCGTTACACGTAGTGAAAAAACGCAACATTGTCACCAGGAAAATTAAGCGTTTTGTTACGAAGAAACTATTTTAGAATCAGAAACTACTGCTCGAGAAGATGCGAGAATGTTGTCAAGAAACCCATTTTATGACAAGCTATCTGGATGAAAACATTTAGATGAATCTGGGTTTGCATTGGAAATGGTTTCCGGTCGTACTGTAGAAGAAGGGGCTGTGAAAGACGTTGCTTGTTGTACAACCGATGCATACCACAACCCACACATACACCATAGTGCCTATTCTGTCTAAAACGGGAAAATTAGCACCGATGCTATTTGTCATTTTCAAGAAAGTGGTTTAAGTTCCCGTGTCCAGGAGAGAATTTTTAAAGCCCCAAATCTCGTTGTCACTTTTCCCTCTTCGGACAATATGACAAAGGAATTGTACAAGAAATTCATAACAGAAGCTATTTTAAATCAAATCCCAGGCGACAAAGTTTTTCTTATATTATACTCCTATGAACCTCACGAACACAAAACATTAGTTCAAAATATTTTAGTTCAAAATAATCGCAGGCATTAGAAATTCACCTGATCCCGGAAAAGATAACGCTTCTTTTACCAAACACTAGGCCTGCATGCACTTCTTCCGAATATTCAGGAATATGGCCCGAAAACTTTCTGATGTGGCAAGGAATCATTCAGAGGTTAACATTCTCCAGAGATGTAATATTTTGAAGCTGCAGTCGCCGAAACAATCAGTTTTCTTCACTTCGATTCAATTTGTCCCATTAGCATGTCTGGAAATTAGAAAGACTTGCTCACAACAACGAAGAATTTAAAAATCCTACAGAAGAATGTTTTCAATACTTCCTGAATCAGTGCAGTTTTGGAGAAAATTGTGAAAACGAGACCTGCATTCAGTGCGCTTGGTTTCTTCATAGTCTATCCTTTACTCATTTTTTTTTTTTTAGATATCATTATTGTGAACATTTTGTGTATAATCCATAAGTTAAATTTATTTAATATTTTTATTTAGTTATTACTTATTTTTAATTTCTTATTGTATCTCTTTATTATTTTTATTTATTTACTATTGAAGATTTTTGTGCAATCATTTTTTTACATATTTATAGTAATTTAAAATTATAAATATAATAAACTTGTATCAAGCCGATCCGGTGGCCGGGATCGCTAAGGCAGTAGTGCCGTAGCGATCTCGGACCGAAGGATCGCGGGTTCGGGTCCCGCATCGGGCATGGTTGTGTTGTGTGTATCTGTGTATGTTGACTGTGTCGTCCTTTCACCCCTCTTTATCATCATCATCGTTTCATCTTCCACCCTCAGGGCTAACAACCCTGGGGAATAAAAATCGGACTCGGCTAAATGCCGGTCCCCCAATTAAAGTTACATGCACCTGACACAGCGATAATGTTACTGAGCCACGGTAAATGCAGGATGCATGCATGCGTGGACCTAGTTGGCCTAATCGCAAGCAAAAAAATAGTTATATTAATAAGTATGGGCGGATTTTAATGAAATTTCTTCTTTTCACTTCAGAACAATGCTGTTTAAAATATAAATTCATGTTATGGTATGACGAAATGAAATGACCCACTTTTATGTCTTTTTTTTTTATTTTCCCTCGATTTCAACTAATAAGTCTTTTTGTATATTTTTACGTAATTGTTACTGCATTTTTCGCTGTTTTCATCGATTTTAATTTCACCTTAATGGTACTTACTTCAAACAATATTTACGCGTTGCAACAAGTGGTTACCACAGTATTCCTGAGTAGCCTATTCGATTTCTTCGCTCATGTACTGCAATGTCAGCCATTGCGAGTACTATGTAATCTAAGGTTACCTTTCCGATTCTTTGCCAATTAAATATGGTGTCCCGCAAGGTTTGAGCCTAGGTCCTATTCTCTTTTTTATACGTAAACGATATACCCTCGTCTATTAAAAACGAAAGAACAGTTCTGTTTGCTGATGACACGAATGTTCTTTGCAAAAAAGAAACATAAAATAGAACAATTTCAGAAGGTTCAAATTGGTTTTGTAATAACAAATTAATAGATAACAAAGGGAAAACATTTTCAATGCATTTTTTTCATTTAAAATCAGCAATCGCAGACTCCATTGAAAATGAACAATATACAATTAGCTAAGGTTTTTTAAAATCAAGTATGATAATCTTCAACATTTGTGTACACAATATATAAAAACAATATGAACTTTTTAAATTGTTCATAATGTGGGTAAAAATCAATAACTCAAAAGAAGTCATATTTGAAAAAAAAAGTATGTGCTGGAATTATGAGCCCCCTTAATATATTAATTAATACATGATTTTAGAGGAACTAACTACATATTTATATATGTAAATGCTATTTTGTTACAAAAATATGGAAGATAAAAGAAATCATTTACAAATTTACAAATGTATATGTTTTCGGCCGCAGCACAGTCAAAAGTGCGCTCACATTTTATACAATTCCCTGAACCCATAGTTCGCGGTCACCTGAAAAATACCCCCACAAAACAAACAAGGCGTTTGGCCATCACAGGGACTTTCAACCCCTACTACTGATTCCAAAACAGAGACTCCACCATAAGAGCCTCCTTGTAAGGAGATGATGTGATAAGGGTGCCTCTGAAGTGCTTGTGGCGATTCATAAAATGGCCGAAGCAATCCCTACCGGCTATGTATCTTCTGTGAATAGGTGTTTAATTCCATTTCTTTCAAACAAAAATAGTACTAGCACATATTGTAGTGTATGTAATATGAGCTTCTTAAACTTTGGGGCTCATATACCCACCATTATTCGGGACTCATTTTACAACCATCGCCATATTAAAATTCTGCAAATAAAAACCGGTCTTTATTACGTTAGGAATTACAGATTGCGGGCATAAAAACAATGTTTAAAACATATTTTATTTCATTCATTAGGGATTATAATCGGTCTAAGCGAACTCTAACTGTAATTAATAGCCGAAGGCTTACCTTCCAATGCTTTTTGAACCTACAAAACACGAACACCTTTGTTACACATCAACTTTCATTCGCAACTGAACCACAGAGCTATGATGGCAAAAGAAGTTACTAAACTAGTTGTGAAAATCGTTCCCGCTAGAATGTTTGCGATGTATGAACAGATACTAAGGGGGGTCATTATAAATCGTACATTGCTCATATTACCTTTACCTCTACTTGCATTAGAGCGTTGGTGAAAACAGGAAAGTAGAGCTTTCAGTAATTGTGTAAAGGGGAAAAGTGGAGAACGCCTAGACACCTTGAAATGTAGTCAAATTTGGTCAGTGATGATAGCGAACATGGTGTTTAATAAGGGTGCGAAAATAGCAATATAGGGGCTTGTGTTATATATAATTAATTGTTTTAAACCAATCACTGAATTGTGTTTTAATTTTCTAAAATTGCTAATTTTTTTTAGACATGTGCGTGGTGAGTTCCATATTCTAATTATAGTAACGGTAAATGGCTAGTTCACTCATAGAATACTTTTTTAGAAACAAGGGAGTGGAATTTTCCCCAAATTTAGTCCCCTTTTCTTGGGCTCACATGCCGCCATTGACTAGACCATATTATATCACTGCATGCCTTCAAACCGAATTCACGCTTTGCCATTGCCAACGTGCTGTTGTAGTGTGTCAGTAGGCTAATTGCGTCAGTAGTGTACAGAGAAGGCATTGCAACTCTGACGGCCGGTTGCTGGGTTAAGATCTTGACAGTCTAAAATTGGTTACGATCAAATGTTGTGCGCGATACAATCCTTCCGTACTTTTCCCTCGAATTTCGCCAATTCGCAATCATTTTTGTTGGTCTGTATCCGAAAAAGTAGACTTTTCCAGACAATATTACATATATCCCCAATGCTTCGATATGCTACTGTAGCGACCGCTACTCAGCTTGCGACAACCCGGTGCGCAGCGGGATCAGGGAGTCTCAGAGTGGACGCGTATAGAATGCATCACAAAGCACAGGTAGCGGGCGAGGGCGAGCCCAAGAGTGCAGGTCCAGAGTGACGGTGTCATACTGGCGCCGGATGTGTCGCAAGACCAAGCAGTGCAACCGGGAGGTGGCGACGTGGTCACAGCGAGCCTATAAAGGCGGGTGGCCCCTAAAAAAGGGGACCATTGTTCCACAAACGTTTGTTGCGAGGACGTCAGTGTGCGCGAGAGGCCGCAAGCTTGGGGGTATGAGCCTAAATGACGCTTCTGAGCTAAATTGAAATCGCCCGTTTCTCGCCCAAGAAATACCTCCTTTCTCTGCTAGTTGGTGAAAGGAGCGTAGCGAAATTGGCGTGGTCAGACGGAAGAGCGGGCCTGATGGCCCGAGTCTCGCCACGCAAAATATGGCGTCAATTCAATTTATGAGCACTCGTGCAGGTATGCTCTATTGGTATGAGCGCCAGGCTCATGTCAGTAGTTAGCATATGCTACAGGACAGCGAATACTCCGGCAGCAAATGGTACGGCACACATGAATATATATGAACATAAACTGTGTATATATCAAAGTAATCTTGTGATGTGCTCAACCCATGACGTCTAGATACATGCGCAACTTTCTGGAAGTTATAGAATAGAAATAGTGACGAAAGAGCTAAACAAAAACGAAGCGTTTCTCAGCAAAATGCCACAGGAAACATTCCCATATCTGAGGAGAAGAATTCTGTGGTGAATTTTTTGCCTCCTGGTTTGACTCCTCCAGTTTTAACACTTAATCTCAGCTGATGTTCGCAATGCTGTGCAAATTGCCAAGTGTAACCTCCCAAATAACATTTCAAATGCACAACATTACACGGTAATGTAAGAAAATAAAGTTGTTACTTACCACATTTGATGGGTAAACTCAATGTAATGTAGGCATGGTTAGAATAAGGGGGAAATATTTAAAAAGTATAATTTTATGAGAAAAGCAAAACATTGTTACAGATAATTTTGAAAATAGTTTATTTTCATAAAATCAAATACAATTTTTATTCTTTTTTTTTCATTTTATTTTAAAAAATGCTCTACATACATGGATTATAATGTAATTAAATGAATCTACATCTAGGCAGAACAGAGGAAACTAAAGTAACTTACAAGAAGTGAATGTTCAATGTTAGTTCACACTGAAATATTGTACTACCTAATAAATGGAAAACAAACAAATTTACTGCTTGGCATTTTAAAAATATAATACTTGACAAATCTCAAATTATTTTTCTAAGAACAATATAATGTATGATTGAAAATTCATTGTAGATATAATCATTATGGCCTTTATATTGCAACAAAAGGTTCAATATTCTGAGACTTCAGAAGTCACTTTCGGGACGCTTCTCCACCCAGATTTTGATGTTGGGTTCAGCGTGCACTTTATCAATGACACCCTGCAATGCTGGATATGGCTCAAAGATGTTTGGGAAAAAAAAGTCGTATGTCTTACTGTAGGCAGCAAGATAAAGATCAGCCCAGCTAAGCTGTGAACATTAAAATGTGCAATGTTACAATAATTATAATTATCATTCAATACAATTCTGCAAAAGACCAAACAAATTATATGAAGAGTTAAAATTATATCCTACAAATAGAGTTATAAATAATACAAACAATAAAAAAAATAAGTTATTCCTGCAAAGATTTCTTGTATATTTACAAAAATATTTAAAAAACAAACTATTTGTGAGGTATAGAAAAGAAGTAAAATCTGCGCAGGTTTTCTTGACCTCCGAAATCTTAGAGGATCAAGAGCAGAACCTACCCTATCTATTACTCCCCTTAAATCTATTTCCTTTCATAAGAATATAATTCACACTATACAATCATCATGAATGCCGACAATGACAGGAATTCTAAGATTTTCAAACCACAGTGTAGTAGGACTCGAGATATGTTGCCTGTTTCATGCAAAAATTTACTCATTTTCGAAAAATTGAATATGAAATTATTTAAATAGGTGCTTTTATTGAACATATTGCATTAAGAAAAAAAAACCTTAATGCGATGGTAAAAAGATGCCGATCAATTTTGAACTTTTACAACTTTCAAAAATTCAAGTGGAACAAAAATGTTATTTACTGAATTTTTTATTTGAATTGGTGAGTCTTCATATGTTATGATTATATCGAGTGCTATTTCCATTAGAATAATTTTGTTTGATTAATAGTATCCGTGTAACTTCTATTCATATTTTTTTAAACATATTTAGATTAATTTTCTCCTTTACTATGTTTACGATGTTTAAAAAAACTGTGTGCATTCATAATTCAACATAATGTGTATACGAGTTAGAAGAGAGATCTTAGAGCTCAAGAAGCTGTGTGCAGATTGCATTTCTTCCCATACTAAGTCACTGTTTCTGACGTTAAATAAATAAAAAGTCTGTGTGTGAATACGATTACGTTAAGTAAGTTATGTAATGTGTGTGTGTGTCTTTTACAGAAGTTGGTGCATTCGATATAAGAAAATGTTATTTTGTTTGTCATCATATTTTTACTTGAGAACATTGTACGAAAGATTTCACGGCCCAGGTTCTGTTCAAATTACGCTACTGAGCTCCCTTGGGGTTCCGATTAGTGTGTATAATACCACCTCATTATACAGTTCACTATCTATTCATCCATGCACTTCGCCAGAACTGGGCATACGAGAAATTAACTAGAGGTGCTAAAACAATACGTACTTTCTCGTCCGTATGTTTACTCAAAATTACGCGAAAAGTATTCAAATTTTCGAAGAATTGCACATGACTATTTCACAATCAAAGGAACAGATTTCATTAAGAGAAAAATCTCTATATTTAATATTTTGGTTTTAAGAAGACTACAAAAAAATTCTGGCCTTTTCGTAGTTTTCAAAAAATCAGTTTTCAACGAACATGAGATCTGTACCACTCTCTTAAACGTCCTTCACACTATCCAACAACAAAATTTAATAAAAAACGATGGTGTCAATTTTTTTAATTCGAAAATGTCCCAGGGGCTTCATAGAGAGTACCCCATAAAAGTAAAAAAAAATTGGCTGAACGGTTTAGCCGCTTACGTTGTTCACAGACGGACAGACGGACGTTTGGGTGTCATTCGAGTTTTCGAAGAACCTCCCAAACCATGGATTCTGGCTATACCACGTGTTAAAGTTTTTTCTACATTTAACAACGATTTATCCAATTTTGCGTTACCAGGGCCATGTAATAAAAGTTTTGTGGGTACATAGACCGCCAAATTAATTCAAATTAATTCAATTAATTCAAAACATCACAGTTTCGCTACTCTTTGAAGGCATTTACGGAGAGATCATACATTTCGCACTTCCCGCCTTCGCCAAAAACCGCGCGAATTCTTTCCCAATTGACAAAAAAATCATTTTCTGTACAAAGCTCTTTGAAATTGCTTCAAAAAATCACTAATAGGTTGCACCACCTCCTGGGGTGCCGCGACGAAAGATTTGTTCATTGTCCGATTTCTCAGAATCCAATTTTTTTCCACATCAGACGCGACGGGCTCTCATTGTTTGAAAATCAGAGGAGCGGCGACCATTATTGAAGCGATCGTGCTGAGAAGCTAAGCAAGCAATACGCGTATTGGACGCATTGAAAATTGGTGGTACGTTGGCAGCAAGCAATTATTGTGTAGTTTCTTTGAACCAGCGCTCTGAGACGCGGAGCTACACAGCAGAAAGCATGAATGACGTGAAATTCCTAAGGAGAACGTTTATTTTCGTCCAGACAGAGGTAACCATGACAATCTCGTCAATACTCAAACGGCAAAGTAATAATCTTTGTCAATTATGCGTCGCTTTCTTTTTCAAAGAACTCTCTCGTCTGATGAGAGCCCAGAAGGCGATGCATAAAACTTCTCGTCGCAGTTTCTGATAATGATTTCTCAATCATCTAAGCAATACTTCGCAGCCTCAAGTTTTTCTGCCGAAAATTCGCGTTTTTTACGCAGCATTATATAACTTTCTCTCTACTCCACAGTGAGAAAGTAATTCTCTCTACCCCGCAGCGAGAATGTAAAAAGCTAGTAAAAATATTTTTAGTTTTTACCTTTCATAATCATTCTGACATTCCCATTATCACCAGCAGTTATTAAACCGAAGTTGTAATAAATGAGATAGCTTGAAGTCGCTTCCGCTATCGAATATTGTATATCCTCAGGGTATACATTTGCGATTGATACGAACGCCATCTAATCTTCTGAATAAATCCTATGAATGGTCTAAGAAAAATTTATTTTTTCAATTTTCTCTATTTAGATTCATTAACTTGATTATTCCAAAGTATGGATATCATAATTGGGATGCCTGAATGCTAGATTGTGTCCCTGCCACGGGGCATCAAAATATTTAAGAGTCGATTTGCGACATTTCCCTCGATTTGGTATTCCCACCGTATCTCTACCCCCAGAGTAATTGGGGTCACTTGTCCCTGTATTGGAAGAGGATGGGTCAAAGAAGTAAAAGTCGAAAATTTGTATTTCTTATGTATAAAACTGTATTGTAATATGAACTAAAACGCAGTATGAAAAATACGCACCTTCCCATTCACAAAATATCCGTTGTTTTCTTTCACTTGTTTTTCCAAACGACTGAAGAATAAGGGCACAGCCTCCTTGCCGAACTTCTCTAGAAGATTGGCTTTTGTTGCAGGATCTTGATGCATTGCAGCTGCAACAAATTCTAAGCAAAGGAGACAAAAGTTAACCATAATCATTATCAATAATAGTATGAATTATAGATAACATTATACAATAATAAATAATATTATACAATAAGATACTATACATGTGTCCATAATTTTTTTTTTTTGAAAGTTTACATGTCTTTTTGTAATTTGATAGGATATTGTAGGATCTTTATTTTACAATCGACAATACTTTTTCTACGATTAAGGTTTTATTTCATGACATTTCTGGGCAAGGTTAGCCCCATCATCAAGTAGCTAACAGTACAATAATACAAATATTAACCTAGAACATTGGAATTCATAAAATTGTCCGACTATCCCTCTCGTGAAACTAAAGCCAAAAGAGTTTAACGATGCATACAAAATGCTCCAATCTGGGCGGTGTATCTCCAAAAGTTTATCGGTTTTTTCTTCATTTTTTCTTACCGCCTATCACCATTGGCCAATCATATACTGTGACTCCTCTACCTTAGGAGGTGGTATACTTCGATCACCATGTCTATGTCCAAGAAACCGCGTATGAACTATAACATAACCTCTTTGATTTTAACATAGCTTTCTGTTATTTTTAATATTTGGCGCATTTTGAAACTCTGTTAGGCATAATTTCACTCACTGAGTAGTCCCATTAAATGCCATTCGATGGAAATTATTTGGAAATTCTCAAATAAATCCCCTCCTCGCTTCGCTAGTCGGGGATAAGTCGACAATTTCCGAAGAACTCGTATAATAAACACATAATGATCTTAATGATAATATTAGTGAATTGTCAGCACTTTAAAATGAATTAAATTTAATATAATTGAATTCATTTTATGAAAAATTACTCTGACTTGCTCGAATATATTTCGCTAGAATATATTTCACCATACGAAATTTCCCTTCACATATTCATTGGCAAAACGTTTTATTTTCGCAGATGCCCTAAAAATTTGTAACATAATGAGATTATGGCGACTTCTATGCTGTATGCATTAGCGTATCGAACTGCTACACCGAAATTAGTGAGTTGAAAACCGATCGAAGAAGTGCGTTTTTAAAGGGCGGAAAAACTCTTCGAACGCATTCTTTCGGAGATGTAAAGTTGGCTGTGTCATGTAGATTTACGGCAAGTAAAAGATCCTCAAGCCTATGAGTAGTGTCACACGGGCGTCGCAAAACGAACGTGTGTTTGACGTCCGTTGATGGCAGGCCACACGGGCACTATTACGGCAACGGACGTCATATCCCGTGTGGGCGTATACTAGCAACAATTGATAACACATAATCGCCAATTTCGTGGCATTTTGAAATGAAACATTAAAAAGATAAGAGAAGATAGTTGATTCATCTCATTTATAGCGAGCGGCTTCAGAAGGAAACATTTTACATCCTCTTTCCAAAATTATGCAACGTCCGTGGGATTTTTTAATCCCTCCAAATCTCTGAGTCGTCTCACAGACAATTGCTGTAAAAAAATATATGATCGTTTATATGGCAAGATACCAATACGAGGTGTTTTATATCACCAGAAGAAATGCTTGTATGTGCACTTAATTAACCTTTCAAAGTCGAATCTATTCATTTTGTGAATGGAAAAATGTATACTCCTTGTTCAACACGGTTCAATATAGATCGCTAATACCCCGTGTGTTCTCCATTCAATGAAGGCCTAAGAAGCTGCAACGTTCGTCAGGAACAACGTAAGTATTTTAGAGGTTAAAGTCCGATGGCTGCTGCGCGACGTTGATGGCGACGGACGTCACTGCAACGCGCTAGTGTGCCGTGACACGTATGCGTCCCGGCTGCGCTCCGTCGAACGCACTTTAACGTCCGCTATTTAACATTCGCGAGTCGCTAGCTTAAAGCAAGCCTCCGAGCGACCTACAAATCGGCTTGCGTGAACTTTACCCAAATGATATCTCTACTACAACGGGAAGCGTGCCATCCGGGACAATTTCTAAGCTTCCAACAGATATCCTGACATGTGTGATTCAGTAGCGCAGGTGTGTGCATGTGTTGCAATGAAAGCGAGAGAGACAATGATGAAGAGAAAATCCCACGTTGTTCGTGTCTCCGGCATTCGCATGATATTTATCGACAAAAAAACCCTGATCAGAGCAGCTGGTCGCTAGAATCCCCTCCAAACAGCGGCTGACATCGATCCCTACGACATCCCTGTTGCAGAAGCTGTCGACTACGGCCCTATAACTTCCATATAACGTGGTGGGGACCATTACAGTGGCGCGCTCTAGAGCATCGCCTTCTTACACGAACTGCTACCAACGTCATTTAAACCGCGCGTGGGTTCTCGGGACGCAAACACACGCGCTTGATAGAAAAGATCGCGCCGCTGTTCGCGCTACCTTTTCTTTCACGCGTGTATTATTACGAATAAATGAATTTTAGAAGATAAACACATAGTATTTAACTTCTCTTGTAATTTATTTCAGAAATCGCTCATAATTAATGTGTATTCGTATTTCTTGACCAATTTTTATGAGCGAAAGTTGGCGAGCCGTACCAGCAGCTGAATCCAGCGACACTAGCGCACCCTATAGTAGCAACCCATAGCTTTGTCCCCAATGTTGATGGAGAGTTGCGGGGCCCTGCTGTCGACTCCGAGGTCGCTTAGCCGGTCTGCCCTCCCCACCGCGCGCACGACGGGCGCGGTGTGCGCAAAGACTCACGTGTGCGCAGGTCGTTGAGGTCGTCGACAGAGGCGTCGATGCGCGCGGCTTCCCAGTCGTCGGCGCCGGCCAGCCCCACCTTCTTGGCCAGCAGGCGCCCGATGGCCGTCGACTGGTTCAGCTTCTGCCCGTCCACCTCCAGCAGCGGAAGCTTCTCGTTCGGGTAGGCTGCAAGGACAACAACGCATCAGCCAAGGAGCATTTCTCAGAACATTGGCGGAATTACTTCATTTTTTGTTCAGTAGTTACATTCAAACCTTTGTCATACGCTTACGTGTATAGTTCTTGAAGTAATTAGAAACATGTTGTGATGTGTACAATATTACAGTCTTTCGAAAGATAATTTATATTAAAAGTATTTTAGAAGTAGATTAATCGTATTTCACTGGTCTCTTGACCAGCACACATTCGAAGACCAACGAAGGGCGGCGAAACTCTTTCACCGCCACTAAGTTTGTGGCGGAAGACAAGGAAGGCTTTGTCAAGGAAGACCGCGAAAGACAAACTCGGGGGAATTCCAAGCTTTCTTCACCAAACGAAAACTCAACTCAGAACAATGTTTCTGTGTTTTATAAAACAATATTTGTGCTGCATCTTCTTAAAAAAATTCATATGAAATAGATTTAAATAGTTAAAGAAATATGAGTTTAGTGTATTGAAAAAATACACTCTTTATCTTTGAAAGTCTTTCTTTATTTCATCGTTATATTCAAAGATTTGTTATTCTATAGCGCTGCTGTGACAAACGTTAAGAAAGCTCTTCTGATGGTCTGTAGACATGGTGGTGGCCAGTGCTGGCTTGTCTTGGTCGACTGAGTGTGAATTCGTGCTATACCGGGACGTGAGTTTTGAACGTTCTTGTGGTAAAGCGAATGTGTACGTATGTGTTTGTTTTCGTCTTCAATCGAGTTATCGAGGACAATAGAACAACTTCAGTCAAGTTTAAAACAAATAGAAATATCCCAGTCTAAATGTAAAGACCAGAAATTTTGCAAACAAAAGCTTCAACTTGACAAGGAAGGGGTACAGAAGACCTAACGTGTGTTATACAGAGGCTATTAGATGCAAAACAACTCTTAGGGTGAGGAATGGAAGTGCAAGGTATCAGGATTCGAGTATTTCTTGAATGTAATGCAAAGTGTGTCATCGTGAGTGGTTGATATCAAGCCTAAGATTCTGTCAAAAGTGTCAGAAACCAAGGCTTGGAAGTGCAGTGTGCTTAGGTGCCGTTTATAGAGGAAAGAAAATATGCAGAATTGCTGTTTTCTTTCCTCACTTTAAAATGAGTTCTTCTAAGCCCCATAGCAATTCTTTGAAACAAGGATGCAGCCTTTGTGCATAATTGCTACCGCAAAGCAAGTGATGTACATAAAAAGCATGCCTAATGGCTAATACTACTTCATCTCATTCGCGCGTACTGCTTCAGCTATCTTACTTAGGCATCTTGAACTAAGAAAAGCGGAGGGGGCCATGTCATAGGTTACGGTTTTAATGTGTAAATTTAATAGGTTCTGTGGGGGTTCTCTCTCCACAAAATCCTCTGAAATTTTGTATCCTGTTCATTAACCCTCACCACTCTATACATTTTCTAAATATCAGTAGGAAAACAAGCATTAAACAACCGAAAACTAAGCTATATGTCAGAGACTTCTTATTGAACAGAAGGCCCACCTCTCAACAAATCATTTAAGATAAGCCCAGAAGATGATTGAGCACTACAATGAACTTCCACGCGGTGAGATATTTTCTTTGATACTTAGTACGAAAATGAGGTATAAAATAAAAGGGGGAAGTCACTTTTTCAACGCATTCGACAACATGCACCCAGACTAAAGTATTCTTGCATGAACTTGACATAATTACTTTTTAGCTCCCTATCCTTAGCATATCTGATTTCTAAGGCAAGCAAAAACTGCTCGGCTTCATAATGTGAATTCTGTAATACATGTGGAGAGCGCTTAAACGATAAAGAAACACAAAACTGACCATTTTTCAACCTAAAAGTCTCATCACTAAACTTATGGCTCACAAGGGTGACCCTGGACGGATTTTCTTCAGTGGTTAAAAGAAGTCTTCTCAGCACCCCAAGCATTCTCTAAACAATTGCTTAAGGAAGAAAAATACAGTCGTGAAAAAACACTTAGCTGGAACTGTAACACGTTGTTTCACATTGGGCAACCGATCCCCATTTATTATATTTCCTAACTTCGTGAGATAATTATTAATAATAAAAATATTTGAAGCAGTGTTGTATTTCTTATTGTTCAGCACTGCAGAAAAAAGGATGAGCTAAACAAAATGTCCAATTTCCTAGAAAGAAATAATTGTTCATCTGCCAGTTTTAACTCGGTAAGCAACTGCAGGGCAGATAAATTAATGCTCCTCTGAAGAGAGTATTTGGAAATGGCAGGAACCACCAAACACTATAGCCCGTTTCTAATTACATCTGGAGGACACTACTAGTTGAACTTAAGCATTCGAGCTCGAAGGAAGTGCATCAATGGAGTAAATAGTGGCTTCATGCTCAAAACGCTTAAGATGGAGTGCTTGGACTAGAGACTCGGTAATAAGGGACATCTCACTTCGGAGTTTAACAACGCCTGGTTGAGAGGGTTTCACCCATTTCATTAGTTACATTCACAAATACCGTTGGAAGGAGAGAAGCAACATTACTTGATTGGCTCAGAACCAAGTGTGTTAATGTATGTGTATTTGTCTTGGGGAGCCTGTGGTGTAGCGGTTAGGGTTGTAAGTGTTGGTCCAAGAGAGTTGCTAGTGGCATTAAAAGAACGCGGTGAATTCACAAAAGGGGCAACATGAGTAGCTCTTTGTGAATGAAACTAGTGAAGAAGTGAATGGTGGTTCTTACCACGGTTTCTTTATAGGAAAGAATATTCGAATCATCTGCAAAGAGAAATGTTCTTCCGTTTTTAGTCGTCGGGGAATATCGTTTACGTATAGTAGGAAGAGAATAGAGCCTAAAATCGATCACTGCGGGTCTCCACAAGCATTTGGCAAAGATTCGTCCTACAACTGCGAGGAGAGCAACGACGGGAAAAACCTTTTCTTAGAAGGCAGTTGTGGGCAGAGCTGATGCGAAGACACAAAATCCCATTTCTGCTGGACAGTCAGGGTTCGAAAACGAGGGCAGTTGTAAAGCGAGTGCTCTTCAGAACTGCAAGCTATGCAACTATTGAAGACTGGTAATGCAGCTTCAAGTTGAAACGCGTATTCAGGGGGTGGAGCCTGTGCAGGATGCTTAGATCTGTTGACTGCAAAAGAAGTCGCATCATCATTAGAACGAGGACCTATATCAAGGCCCATAGATACAGAAAATCTACTACATTCTGCAAAGAAACAATTTCAGTTTCTCACTTTGAAATGAGAAATGCTTATCTTGTTTTACTAACTTACTGAGCACTAAAAACTGTAAAATTATCTCAGCCAGAGGTACCTTTGTTGAAACAGCTGATATTGATAGCCAATGAGATGCAAATCTCTGAGGGAAAAGGCACTACCATTCTTGAGGGGGATAAGGTGAAAAGAGTTAGAAAATGTTCATCTAAAATTTTAGATTTGTCAACATAGTGTTCTCTCAACTCATCCCAAGCTTGTGCGAAGGATTCAGTAGAAAGTTAGCTCCGAAAATAATTTCAGAGGCCCGGTCTCCAGACTACTCATCAAATGCACTAATTTTTTAGATTCGGGGATCTGGGCTTGATTGATTACCGAGTGAACAGGTCGCTAAATCTTTGCCAATTCTTATAATTACCGTCAAATTTTCTTAATACTTGGCAGAATTATTCTTGGCTTAATAATTCAAAATCTTAATACTTGGCAGAAATCCGTGGCGACACGGCGCAGTAAATACGGGACCCTTGTCTAAGGGCTCGTATTTTTCTTGCAATAATTGCTTCACTGCGAGGTACGCGTTTTCAAACTCCGAGAAATTATTCTCGTGTATCGTCATCAATGTGTGTAACATCACTGAATGACACACCGTTCATTTTCAATGGAGTACAGAGCTGTTTATTTGAAATAGAAAACTACATTGGAACAATTTTATTTTCATTTACAATTAATTTGGTATTATGGAACCAATTTGAAATGTCTGATATTGTACTATTTACGGTTTCTTTATAGGAAAGAATATTCGAATCATCCGCAAAGAGAAATGTTCTTCCATTTCTAGTCGTCGGAGGCATATCGTTTACGTGTAGTAGGAAGAGAATAGGGCCTAAAATCGATCACTGCGGGTCTCCACAAGCATTCGGTAAAGAATCGGAAAGGTGTGTACACAATGTTCCATTAATTCAGTAAGGTATTTTTACTCTTTGAGATCGTTGTTTAAGGTACGAAAATAACCAATCTAGAGCAATACCACGAATTGCATACGAAGGTAATTTTGAAAGTAAAAGGTTATGATTAATGACGTCAAAAGGTTTTGAAAGATGAAAAAATATTCCAGCAAGTGCTTCGTTTTGATCCATGGATGAGGCGTTAACGGGTGTATAATGGTGGGAGCACAATCTTTAACAAACAATCCGGAAATTTATTTAAACCGGCCGAATATTTATTTTTTAGTCTACCAATTATTTTTAGAATTTCGAAGGAAGACGTTTCGGAAACGAACAGCGAATATAAAATTTTTGGGGAACTATTACTGAATTTTGTGGCTGAAGACACTTGGTGAGATTGGCAGCAATTCTCGAAAATTATTGGTTAGACTAGCCACTGTTGCCGGATCTTTCACTTTTCCGTCGTTTTCTTTTAAAACCACATTCTCTACAAGTTTTCTAGTTGATTTCGTAACGTTCAAATCAACGGCATCGTCATTCGTCACAGAAATATAATAAAATCTTTCAGTAATTAAATTATCACAGTAATATAATATTGAAAGTAAACGGAACTGTTTAAACGTTTTGACTATTATCACCAACTCGTAAACCTTAAGTTCGTTAAGGTTCCAGAAACCGTTTAAAATTTGTTACCTTTTGGTTTGTGTTGGCTATAACAAAAAACTAGCCGAAATTATATTTCCAGCTATCCTGCAACACGTATTGACTGCACTTAAACACCTAATATAGTCAATTAGCTAAAAATAGGAGATAAAGTAACAAAAATGCAAGAGCACAACCAGATGCGTCCATCTCGTAAGATGGCGTCAACAACTCCAATATATTCATCG